CCTGCATCAGGTTGGCAATCGTCTCATCCTTCTCCGCAGCACTGCTCTGCTGGGCCTCCGTGGCGGTAACGATCTCCTCGCGCTCACGCCGGGTCGCCTCCAGCAGCGATTGCAACCGCCCCACCTCTTCGGTTAGATTGGCCTCAACTTCTTCATGGTTTTTTTGCTGGGACGACATTGCATTCTTGAGCCTCTGAATCTCCTCTTCAGCAGCATGTTCAATGGTGTCCAGAATATCATGTGGCGCTTCGAAGGAGAATCCATGCTGACGCGTGATTTCGATCAGCGAACCAAGATGCTCTTTTAGGCAGTTTATCGCCTCTTTGTCCTTTTGTGTTCCGTGTATATCATCGTTGGTGCCGCTGTTTCTCCTCACCTCAACCTCTTCATTGGACTTTCTTGGCATCATACGTGTCGCCCTCAATGAGGAATCTTCTTCTTTTTGTACTTCTCGCGACGTGTAAGGGGTCTCCGCAGTACGGTTCGCGTCTGGTGTCGCGGTTGCGCGAAGTGACTGCAGCTCCGTCTCCAGACTTTCGATACGATCAATGTACTCCTGAACCCGAGCTCTCACGCGCTCCTTGAAGACGGTAAGCTTCTCCTGCACGGCGGCCTCGAGCACATCAGGTGGAATTGTCACTGGTGCTTGTGCCGCCCCCGAGAGGCTGGCGGTGGAAAGCTGCTCCAGCTTCGCCTGTAGCTCGGCGATCGTGGCCTGGTCACGCTGCGACGTCAGTATCACCTTCTCGCGCCATGTCTGCACTTTTCCCTCCAGCGTTGCGAGTTCCTGGGTCTTTGCCGCCAGCTCACCACGTAGTGTGTTTATGAGCTCGTCGCTGCGGCTCATCTCCGTGGCGTACGCCAGCCGCTCCTCCTCCATTGCCTGCTGCAGCGCCAAGTCGCTGTACTGATCGGATGCTGCCGCCGGCGAGCATGTAGAGCTGGCACTTGATCCGCGCCGCATAGTTGCCGTCTCCGCTGCTGGTGCACCGGTGAGCTGCTCGACGAGCTCCTCAAGTGCGGAGATGCGGGTGCTCTTCTCACGGATACTTTTCGCCTGCTTCTTGGCGACCTCGATCAGCTCCTCGCGGGTCATGCGACCCAAGTCCACGACGCGTGTGCGGCGCAGCGTCGGAACCGGCTCCATCGCAGATATCGGCGCGGGACTTTTTTCTTGTCTGAATCTGTGTTTGCACGCAACCGTATATATGGTCAGGATTGCGTGTACGTATGGGTATTCCCTTCAGCCGTACCTTTGCTCTTTTCCTTCAGCGGCGCGAAACAAAAAGGCGTGAGACAGGCAACATACAATAAGTCTCTTTCCTTGTTTCGTTCATGTTCCATGCTCCCGCTCGCTTTGTTCCTCCCTCCCCTCTTTTTTTTCTTTTTGGCTGTGTGTATGTGTTTCTGTGTGCGGTTCATCATGCCATGACGAAGGAGTTTACCGCCCGTTAGAGAGCCGACACCCTTTTTTTTGTTTCCTTTTGTTTTCGTGGGGTTTTTTTTTCTCTCTTTTGTCTTTGAGTTTGTTATTCGGTTGTCTTCACCCAACACGCAGTCCCCAACGCACCATCACGGCGGCAGCAGAGGTGCCATCGCGCCAACGATCGTCACTGCCAGGGAGCAGTCCCCTGCCCCGCCCTCGCGGGNCCCGCGCCGCTGCCCCACCGGCAGTACATCCACCGAGAAGCTCACCTTCTCCACCTGCAGCCGCAGGTCAAGCTTGGCGAACGCGGCACAGGGCAGGCGGGGCTGCGGCGACGCTACTGCCGCTGGTGGAACCGGGTGGCGTGTGTCATCCACAGCCCGCCGCTTAGCGACGGGCTGCTCAGGCTCGTCTCCACCGCCAAGCGCCAGCGCCGCCACCGTGAAGACGCGTGTCGCCGCGTCAAGTGCGCCCTCCACGTGCGCCCGCAGCAGGACGACAACGCCGCCGCAAGGCAGTGCATGGCTGCCACCGCCTTTCTTGCCAGCCCCGTGCTGTGTGACGTGCACGCCTGTCAACTGCAGCGTGCTGCTGCCGACGGGGTACGGCACCGCCACTTTCGCCGCCGCTGCTGTTGGATTTTTGGACTTTTTGCCCGTCACGCTGACGTTTTGCGCGGCGCCGTGCGATCGTGTGAGTGCGTCACGCACAGAGGGGACGAGTACTTCCGCTACGACTAGACGCACCATCTCACTCTTCCTCCTTTCCCTCGCGCTGCTTCTCATTGGGAATAAGCAGACAACAAGGTAGCATTACGGCAACAACACAAAGAAAGGGAAAGAGAGACGTGGGGCAAACATGGCAAATCCTCTTTCTTCACAAAACGGCCTGCTCAGCTTTTTTTTCTTTTTATTATTCTCTCCAGTCTTTTCTTTCACTGTGCTCCGCTTCTCCATATGCCGGTGTTCTTTTTCTTTTGTGGTTTAACCGTTAACACAATGGCTGAGGAGGATGGGACGGAGGGGGTGCGGCACGCGCGCGTCCCACCCACCCCACCACACCCCCCTCTTACGGTCCTCAACGTGCCTTCCCGTTCCATTTCATCACTTCCGCTTCGCCGCCTTGCCGTCACCGCCGTTATTCTTATTCTGTTTCTTGTCAGTCCCCTTCTGCAGCTGTTGCTTGTTCTCCGATCGTCCATGCTTGCGACCGACCTTCTGCTTTGTCAACTCCGCATCCCCTTCCTCCTCGTCCTCCTCGTCCTCGTTGTCGCTGTCCATCGCATCGTACCCCTCTTCGCTCTCGTAGTAGCCGGTGACGTGCACAGCGGCGCCCGAGCCACTGGCAGCCGTGCCTTGCGACGAGACCAGTGTGAAAGAGGCCTTTTGCGTGAAGACAAGCTGTAGCGGGGCGTAGTAGATATTACGGTCGGCGGCAAGCGTGCAGACAGCGAAGCGGCTCGGCTGGTCGTGGCTCTGCACGTAAAGAGTGACGGCGCCGCCAGTGGTGGAAGTGAGGGCGCAGTGCGTAAGCACCAGAGAGCTGTTCTGAGGCATTGGCGGCGTTACCGGTGTCCCGTCCGCCCGCATCTCCACACCGAAGAAGCAATGAAGCGACATTCTCCTGTATTCAACGTACTCTTGTTCGTCTTGCTACTGCTACTGATGTTGTTGTTGTGGCTGTTGGATGTGGGTTAGCCTCAAGTACTCCCCCTTTTGTTTTGTTGAGAGATGACGATGACAACGAGAGGAACGCAAGATAAGAAAGGAGAAGGAGGGGGAGGGGGAGGAGGATGGGTGAAGGGTTCTGGATAAAGGACATGCAGATGATGGCACAGAACATCGTCACAACAAGATGACGCATATCAAATGGGAAAGAGCCGTACGTTGTTGTGCTGCGTGCCACTGCAACCGACGTAGTGGCACCAAAGGCATAGCACCACACAATAAGGGTACCCACATGAAAACATATACACGTGCCCTCGCCTCCACACACGTCGTTTCGCTCCTTCCCCCTCCCTCTCAGCTGCGTTCAATGCGTCCGTGTTTGAGTCCTCCCCCCCCCCCNCCATTGTTGCTGTCTGTTGTGTGTTGTGCGTTGCCGCAATTGTGGGATTCCACAGCAGCAGTGGCACCCAACGCACAAAACAACAACAACAACAACAACAGAGAGAGAGAGAGAGAGAGAAAGACAAGCAAACAAAACGGAGACGAGTTGCCGCAAACAACGCAAAGAGCCAGCGAGGGGAGTAAGGTGGGACTATAATTATATGCCAAAAGACACGCCCAACGCTGCAAACGCGGGCAACGTAACGCTGAATACACTAATACCACTGCGTTGTTGTTGTTTTTTTGTTTTGTTGTTTTGTTTCCCGTGTTTCGTTTATTGTGTATTTGTTTTGTTTGGTTTCATCTTCTTTTGTCTTCGCCGCCGCCATGTGGTTTCCCATGCACACACACACACACACACACACCGCCCCCTCCTTTTTCGCGCCAAGGGCGGCGCTTTCCACCTTGGCACCGCACACCTTCCCCCTCCCTCAGTGTGTGGGTGGNTGTCGCCCATTCCCCACCCCACCCATTGCTGCTACTGCCGCCGTGGCGACAGGCACACGCACGCAGGCCTATGCGTACGCCGCCATGTCAAGGCATCCTGCTCAAACACATGCGGGCAGCAGGAGGCAACGAACTGAGTGGCACACACACACACACACACACACACAACGGTGCCACTCCAAGCAAGCGGGATATACGTATGAGCAACAGAAAGACAAGACAAACAAATCACACACGTGTACACAAATGAGAAGCAGTGGAAAACAAAAACATAAGAAATAGGGCATCAAAAAGGTGGGGGAAGGGGGAGCAAAAGCAAACTAGATACAACCGTCCAGGAATCCATCAAAGCAATACATACCATTCAAATGCATTTGCATGGCCTTCATTTCAAAGGCATCAGAAATATTCTCTCTTCCAGTCTCCCCCAAGTATCGATTGCATATACTTAATTCATACAAACACACAGAACACACTGAACTAGTAGAATACAAAGAAAAACAACGATCTTCGAAAACCCTCACATCTGCGCACTGTAGTTGGGGCCGCCGCCGCCCTCCGGCACAGTCCAGTTGATATTCTGCGTTGGGTCCTTAATGTCGCACGCCTTGCAGTGCAGGCAGTTCTGCGCATTGACTACTAGTTTCCCCTCCACAAACTCGTACACCTTCGCCGGACAGTATTTCCCCTCAGGTCCGTCGTACATGGCGAGGTTCACTTTCTGCACTACCTCTGGGTCCTGCAGCTTGAGATGCGCCGGCTGGTCGGCGTTGTGTGCGGTGCCACTGCGGCTGTGGTTGGTGAGGAGGTCAAAGGTGAGTTTGCCGTCTGGCTTTGGGTACGAAATCTCCAGGCAGGCTGCAGCAGGCTTGAGGGCCCTGTGGTCCGGTTGGTGATGCTGCAGCGTCCACGGCTCTACACCGTGCGTCAGCATGGTTGTCACACCAGTGTACATCACGCCCATGAAGAAGTTGCGCGCGAAGACCTGCCGTACGTTGCGCACCGCGTAGAGTTCCTTGTGCAGCCAACTGCTACGGAACCGGTCGTCGTAACTCTTACACTCCACGTCGTTGCGCTTCTCCTTCCCACCAGCAAAGGCCTCGTCGTAAACTGCCTCTGCCGCGAGCATGCCGGACTTCATCGCGGTGTGCGTTCCCTTGATTTTGGGCAGGTTGAGGAACCCTGCGCCGTCGCCAACGAGCACGCCGCCAGGGAAGTGCAGCTTTGGAAGGGCCGTGTAGCCGCCCTCCACGAGTGTGCGCGCGCCGTACAGCAGCGGCTTCCCGCCCTGGAGTTGCGCCGCCACCATCTCATGCGTCTTCCACTTCTGCATTTCCATGTATGGACGGGTGTAGGGGTTGCTGTAGTCGAGGCCCACAACGAAGCCGAGCGAAACAAGACCGTCACCGTAGTGGTAAAGAAAGGAGCCGCCATATGTGTTGTCGTGACCCTTGTCTGTCACTGGCCAGCCAATGGTGTGCGTGACGCTGCCGGGGCGGTGACTTTTAGCCGGCACCTCCCATACCTCCTTTATGCCGAGCCCGTACGTCTGGAAGTTGCCCTCGCCGCGCAGGCCGAACTTCTTCTCCAGCTGCTTTGTGCAGGAGCCGCGGCAGCCCTCAGCGAAGATGGTCTGCTTCGCCTTGAAGAGCATACCAGGCTCATACTGCGCTGTCTTCTCGCCCTTCTTGTTGATGCCTACATCATTAAGCTGCACGCCTTCGAGTGCGGTGCCGCTGCTGTTGTATAGCGGCTGTGCTGCGGCAAAACCTGGGTACACCTCCACACCCAGCTCTGCTGCCCGCTCGCCAAGCCACTTGCACAGCGAACCGAGCGACATGATCCGCGCGTTGCGGTTGTGAAGCGTCGGCGGCAGCAGCGGGGACTTTATGTAGCGCTTCTGGTCCCGCAGTAGGTAGAAGCTGTCACTCGTCACGGACGTCATGGTAGGAAGGTCCTGCGCCTTGCTCCAATCCGGCAGCAGCTCGTCAAGGGCGTGCGTTTCCACGCAGGCCCCGGAGAGCGTGTGGGCGCCAATCTCGCTGCCCTTCTCCACAAGACCAACGCGGAAGTCATCTTTCGCGTCAGCGGCAAGTTGCTTCAGGCGGATAGCAGCAGCAAGACCCGCGGGGCCACCGCCCACAACGACGACATCGAACTCCTCCACCATACGCTCCACCGGGGCGCAAAACAGGCGGCAGGATCGGCGCAGCATTAGGAATGTATATATGTATGTACAGATACAAATAGAAGTCTTCACAAGGCTTTCAGTTTGTCAAGCCCTCTGCGTGTGTGTGTGTGTGGTTGATTGTGTAGGTGGGTGTCTTTTGCTTGGTGCTATGATGCTGAGGTTGGAACGCGTATCTTGTTTGTTTGTTTGTTTGTTTGTTTCTTTTGGTGGGGGTATTCTCTTGCAGCCCTCGGCGTACAACGTCCGCGTGTGGTCTTTTTTCTGTTGCTGCCTGGCAGCACTTGTTTCCCCCTTCCCTACTACTACTACTGCTGCTGCTGCTGCTGTGTCCTTGGTGTATCCTCGCAGTTGTGCACAGATGCAATGGGGGAAGAAACGCAGCATGGGCATTCACACCCGCACATGCACCGGACGGCACACCCGTGCGTGCACGCATGTGTCCCCACATAAAAACGGCTGAGTGCATCGATGAAAAAGTGCAAGCAAAAACAACAACAACAACATCAACAACAACAGTAAAAACGAACAACTCGGCGAGTGGTGCTGTGGCTGGGATCCCTCTCGTCGTCTTTCTCAGGGGTGTTACACACACACATCTCCCGCACTGCCTGCAACAGCGGCCCGCAAGGAGCGCACAGTAGTGTGGGAAGCCGCAACATGTCACATCTTCCCAGCACAGACACACACACACACACGCACAGAGAGAAAGAGAGAGGCAGATAGGTACACTTATATATATATAAGGCCACCGCGCTCATTCGTTTATTTCTCCCTGTGTTTATTTGTTTGTTTGTTTTGCATATTCATTATTTTGAGGCACCTTGGTATTTAAACTATTCGTTGCAGTATTTTTTTCTTCTTTCCTGCACAAACCTTGTGCGTGCCCCTCACGCGCCGTGGTGGCGGATGAGCAGCAGCACGAACGAGAGTGCCGCGCTGATCGCCAGAGCACAATCTTCCCACAGCCACTCATCCTGCGTCTCAACAGCAGGATTTCCAAGCATCGTTGGTGGCTGCTGCTGCTGCTGCTGCTGCTGATGATGATGTTGTTGTTGTTGTTCTTGGCCTTGGCCTTGTTGGCCCTGCCCCAACTCAGATGAGGAACCCGACGCCCCGTCGGCGATACGTTCATCAGCGTCGTCAAAATCCATGCGCGCGCCGGGCATCGGCAGCTGCAGCAGCGTGCTAAGGCCGTACCGCTGTCGCGAGAAGTACATCCACCACCACTGGAAGTTGAGTGATATCAGAGCCAGCCTCACCGCGTAGACGGCCCCCACCGGGTCCACCTCTACCACACGGTCGTAGTAGCGCTTCGCTAAGTACAGCCGCATCTCCTCCGACTCGGTGCAATTCACCGCTGCTTCTGCTGCTGATGTTGATACGGCTTGCGTGCTTGCCCCATCGTCACGGTCCAGCGGTGTATTGGTGAGGATGCGGTGGATGGCGTCGCCCACGCTGGTGGCGCCGCCGGTGCCGACGCCGAGACCCAGCTGGTACATCAACCCCATGTTGAACAACGCCTTGGGGTTGTGTTTCCGAGCCGCAGCCTCATAGTGCAGGAAGGCACGCGACATGCTGACACCGATGAGGCGACTCTCACCGTAGTAATAGAAGTCACCAAGCCGCAGGTCCGCATCCGCGTCGCCGGTGAGTGCCCAGAGGCCTAAGAGACGCAGCCGCAGCATTTTAAGCGCTTCGCTTTGTGATAGAAGCGCAGGTTTTGCTGCTACTACCCCTGCATCAGCTGAGTCAGCTGGTGTTGAATAGGAGGAGGGGGGTGTGTGGTACCACTGCAACCACACAGCGCCGCTGTTCATCTGCATCGCACGGTCCGGTGGCTTCCCGCTTCGCACGAAAATGCCGTCGTGCAGTTCCTCCTCCACCTCTTCAACAAGCGGCAAACTATCCAGCATCAGCGCCGCGTCCTGTCTTGATGCTGCGTGGCCCGTCTCAGCCAGCGCGAGAGCCTCGAGAAAGCGCACTAGGGTGGTGTCAGCGCGCGGCGTGAGTGGCGACGGCGACTCTTCGCCCAATGGGAAATACGGTGTCTCGGTGCTGCGGTCAAAGACCGACGCGAAGGACGCCACGTGGGCATACAGCAGCACTGCCCGCGCACAGTTGCCCTTCATGTACTCGTGACGTGCAAGCTGCCAGAAGGAAAGGACGCTGCCACGCTGCGCAGCCGCCTCAAACTGCTTGATCGCCGCCAGTGGGTCCTGTGGCACCCCGCGGCCGTGCAGAAGCAGCACGCCGAGGTTGTACAGCCCCTCCGCACTGCCACGCTCGGCACTCTCGGTGAAATACTGGGCTGCCGACTCGAAATCCGACTGTGGTGGCTTTGCATCAGCCGTTTCTGCTGATTCTGTTGCTGTCGATGCTGATGCTGCCTCCTTCGGCGAAGGTCGCCCTCCACTGTAATAGCCGATGGCGTGCAGGTATCCCATGCCGTTGAGGGAGACGGCGTCATTCCGCGCCACGCCCTCCTCGAAGTACGATGCGGCGGTGTTAAAGTCGCGTGGAATCGCCGGCTGCGCGGTACTGTCACCGGTGGCGTACAGCTGTCCGAGTGCGCCGTACGCCGCCACCTCACCCTTCGCGAGCGCCTCAAGGAAGTAACGCCGTGCCCGCTGCCAGTCACGCGGCACACCGTACTGTCCCTTGAAATAGATGTGGCCAAGCGCGAGTATCGCGTCGACGCCGCCATTGTCGGCGCGGTACATGAGCACCTGCATCATCTTCTCGTCGTCACGCGAACGGAGGCCTGTCGTATCGCCACGCCTGCCGCCCTGCGCCCGCCCCACGATACGGCTCGTGGGGTTCGGCACACCGTCGTACGTCATGGCGACCGCGTCGGCGGCCTCACGGTAATGTGCGACGGCGCTGTCACAACTCTTCGCGACGCCGAGGCCGTCGGCGTAGCGGCGGCCGAGCGCCATGTGCGCCTCCGGCACACTCTCCAGCGCGGCGAAGGTGTAGTGCAGGACTGCCTTCGCG